AAGAGAGTTTCAAGTGTTGTGATGTCTAAGGGTTTGTTATTTCAGTCAACGGATAAGGGTCTAGGTGAATTTGACAAAGTCCAATGTCCCTAGGTCTCTTTACCTCAACATCATCATCAAAGGATGCATTCCAGCACTTGTCCAGGGAACGAACCGCAAACATCAAGTCATAGCTATTCTGGCTGTTTCTATTTCAAACTCTTGTTTGAGACACAGCACAGGTAAAGACAAGGTCGATAAGCCAGTCTCTGTTACAGACAGAACTCAAGAGAGACATTTCAGGGGACGACAGTCGCCCACAGAGATGAGGTGCCACAGTGACGGAGGAGGTGAACCAATCCAGCAATGTCATAAGTAGCACTGCCAAAACAACTTTGCTAAATTGACTTGTGTGTATTCTTTGCAATATCTGTCAAACAGCCTGCTTCATTTGAATACTGCTGAATGTAAATAATTATCCTTTTGGTGAAAGCAAGAACCTTTTAGACTGATGATTTGGTGGCGAAATCTAGCATGTAGCAGCAATACCTACACCCTATTGTAGCATCTTAATGGGCATGGGAAATCTGGTGGTGGGCATCAGTTTTAAAGTGAAGAGTTTAGGTGTCTTGAGAGTGTATATGTGGAAATACCAAGGAAAATGGTAGCAGTACTAGGCCTATCCATCCTCTCCTGCCTGGGGCCAAATGACTGATGACACAACTCACTCTCTCTCTCTGCTGTTCCAAGCTGTTCTCAGCCAGGCATTTGGCTGCCACACTGCCACGGAACAGCAGGGGGCGCTGTAATTGATGAAGGCCTGCTTCTAATACAGCAGATCCAAAATATGTTCTCCCGTACTGCCTGTAGACACATCTTTCTTGTCTGTCTTATCTTTTATTCATTGACAACGGATCTGAATGGAGAGTTATGGTTATTGCTCAAAGACAAAAGGCGAGACCACAAAACAAAGTTTTGATTTTTTATGCACCAATTTAAAGAAGACCCGCAGAGATGTCTGATGGTAACCTCTTGCTTCTTTACATAACAATAAAGCATCTGTTTACCAAGCAAACGATTGTGTCTAAAAAGTAGCACACTTTGTTTGAACAGCCTTGTGAGATTTTACAGGCCAATGACATCTGATGTACAAGACACCTATAAAATGTACAAGGGACTATAAAAGAGTGTGAAATGTTCAATGGAACTGCTTGCAAATAAAACGGCAGTATTGTGAGAGACAGAAAAGGATTATTGAACTCGGAAGGAGGAGGCAACGCACTCGTAATGGTACAAAGCGTTCCCTTCTAAACACTAGATCGCATTATAGTCATTGCAGTACGTTACGGCAGTTGGGTCTGTAATGAACTATAAAAAAAGGACGAAAAAGAAAGAAACAAGTAGCTCTCTCTCTTTATATCCTCACCAGCTTTATTTTGGAGATAATTTCTACTTGTGGACCAACTCCAGGGACAGCAGTTCCAAAAATATGACAACAATTACAGTTACAGCATGTTCCTGGATGGCTATTTTCAACCGTTGAATTGATGCGAGGATGTATCAACATGCTCTCTTGGGTCAGCATCGAGTCAAACTATCCTGAGCTACAGTGATGCTTCGTTCTGTTTCGGTGGCAATGGCTCCAGGGTGTCATTGGGTTTCAGGGGCAAGCCCTGGAGGACAGACATGGCTGTCAGACTCTCCTGGCACAGAGATATCAAGCGATGCCAAGGTGAGCCAGCTACACAGCCCTCTGCCTGAAATGGAGTCACTTTGTCGGCCGGGAGGTCATGAAATCTGTCTTTGAGGAATGCCGGAAAAGAGCAGAGCAGATTTAGCTTTTGACAAAACCACAGTGACAAGATCTCTGGCTGGATCAGCTTAAACCCTAAATCAGATGAGGACTACCGTCCAGGAATAAACTTTGACATTAACTCAATAAAGCGCTGGATTGGTCAAATAACTACTTAATTCCACAGTTTAAGGACTATAAAGTGAAATCAAAAGAGGTTGCGTGCATTCTGTTACAAAGAAACACAAGGTGTAAATATCTACATTCAAATTCCTTCGGTGTGAAGAATCATTTCCAGTGGTTATTTTAAACCACCCAAATAAGCTGAATGACTGTTGTTTCTGATTTCTTAAAACGAAAGCGTTCTACCTGTGATGTGAATGCCACCGGGTAGCATTTTATCTTTAGCAATACATGATGTACTTTTTACTGTTTATGTACTATTTGCAATGTCGTCTTTTTGTACCGTAAGCGTAATTGGAATCAAAGTTGAGCCTGCCGCAGTTGACAACCATTTGACGGAGATGAAGTGCTTCCGAATTTGAACACCCTTCTCACCTTCCTTACTAACTTAAAAGATATCTTGCCATATTTGAAGCTTGCGCTATATGTATAAAGCCTATCATTTTTAAAAGACGTATTATAACCAATGCTTGAATGACATGTTAGTTGCCAGTCCAGAGACATGTAATATATTGGAGAATCACATTGTTCCCATTTGTTTGGTGGCTCCATTCGTTTGGTGGTATGTTTGACCGATCTAATCTTATGCAGTATTCTAAGCGGTAACTTTTGTGTATGTATAATTAGGATGAATTCTACTAAGGGCTTTAAAAGGAGGCATGTGCTCTTAATAGGAGTTGCCCGTGTTCAACATGGAAAGGGTTCGTTTTTCCCAATGCAATGACAGGGAGTACATTTGCTTGTGTCGGAGTGGACAAAGTTTACTAGGGTAAACTATAACAAGAGGTTGTGAAAGTGATGCTCTGTCCTGTGATCAAATTTTTTAAAATGTATTTTGCCACAACACACTCTGTGTGTGTGTGTTTGTGTATTACTCTCCATCACAAAGCAAAAATGTTCCCTCTTTGAGAAAACGGGACTTTTCTTGTTTAAACCCTGAAAAGATATGCAAAAACATGTTAAGGACATATGAGAGCTCATTACAGAAGTGAAAAAAGACAACTGCTCTAAATTTGAACTTACCAGCATTAAAGGAAATCCAAAGCCAGCTACAGCAATTGCAGGTTGATCCTAATTAAAAGCCACTGGTTGCATCATTGATAAAGGGAATGACAGGAAGACTAATTAGGCTTGTCTGTTGACTTAAACAAGGCCAGTTATTTTACAGCAACACTAGCATTGAGAACTATCTCCGGTCATGTTTCTTGTGTTTTACATGTTTACAAAGAGCAAAAAGTTAAATATATAAATATTGTGTAAAAATGTATGTATATGATGTGAATATAAAGCAGCATTAGTTCACAGCTTTCCATAACTACAAACACAAACTAAAGCTGGGGATTTGACATTGTAAACACAGTGTTTTGTGTAAATTTCCCAAAGGCTTTTCTAGGTGCAGCCAGCTCACGTTACCCCATGTCCTAACTAGGTGGATTGCAACACATTTCCAAGTAATTTATTTGTCCAAAATGCCGTGCAAACATAGAAGTGACAGCTTGGTTTATGGAAATATTATTTCCAAAAGGTATTTAGAATAAGTGTTGAACTAAACATACATCTCAGAGATCATTCAATCAACATTTAATTTGAAGCAAAAAAAGAAAAGAAAAAGTATTTTAAATTTTAAAATGGGAAAAAGAGACTATACTTTCTTTTGAAGCAATTAAGTTCTCATACCAAGAAGCATTGCAAGTGATGTAATAAAATGAGCAATCAGCAAACAGCATACATAAAACTTTAATTACATCATCAGCCGGGCTTTGTGGGATCACTGGGAATTGTACTTCCTTTTGCGCTCTACCAGGATTTTGGACCAGTAAGCAAGAAACTATGGGCTGCCCAAAACAGTGCTATAACAGAAGTCATGCCTGGTTAGGACAGAGTTGTTCACTTTCTGAAATAAATAGCCCACTGCACTCTTTTTATTCCTTTTATACACAGCTCTCTATCATCAGCATTCACTCTCTCCTTTCCACTCATCCTAGCCTCCTCCTCTGACTCTTCAAGGCTCAATGGACGTTCACACTGACTGTGATTAAACTGTTGGAGGTAACAGAGTCTACCCTTTCTGCATTCTTAAAGCTAGTGGTCATATTACATGGTTTATTTGCATAAAATTGACCTTTACCTTACCTTATCTTTGTTGCATCAGTAGTTGTTGTCACTTGTGCCACCCATAAACTGGCAACTTTTGATAAAAAGGAAAAGG